TACAATGTTTGTTAGAAATGGTATTCAGTATTTATTTGCTCCATCTCTTTAAACGTCAGTGATTTTAATACTTTAAACTGACTAGCATTTCTGTGCAGTTCTTTCATGCACAACACATTCAACATTGAACTCGCCTCTTGCGTATTTTCTCCCCTCTCACACTACATTTCCATTCCTCTACCTGGACAATGTCTCTTGACCTGTCAATGCTTTATGAAGACACTATAAATCTCTTCCTGAAATGAAGCTCTACTCATCCTAGGACAAGATGGTGTCATTATTTTCCAAAGCAATTGAGAGGAAATTGAGATATCATTCAACGTAACAGCTGCTGACTCAAGTCTCTGCTGTTTCCTTATTAAAGGGCCAGGGCCAAAATTCCTCTTATAGACAGCAATTCATCAAAAGAAAGGGATGGTCTTTTTTCACAAGGACTGCTCAGCTAGCAATACACTGAATATATTTTTTCAGAATGTATTTTTCTGATAAGATAAAATGGTATGTAAGCCATATAGAACTGCATGCGATTCCTTTTATGAAAGACTTCTATACTACAGTAAATCATTATTATTATGTGCACTCTTTAATTGACAGATTAACAAATGATTAAGGACTATAAAAATTGTAATCTAAATGTATTTAAATATATATTATCATCTAAAACACAAAATACTTCCTACATTTATGCATAACATCCATTTGTATAGTCTATGGCTTCTCTGTGTACAGCTATTGAAACTGCAAAAGGATTTCCAATAATCCTTCAGCAAAATTACTTCCAGCGGGTAATTACAGTGAGCTTAGGCAGTACTCCTTTTGAACTCCTTTTCAACCTTTCACTGGATTTCATGAAATAATTACAATGCATTCAAAACTTTAGTGAATGGTCATTAGCATTTCATCAAACATGTTAGCATGTCCGCCACGCAACATGTGGCCATCTACTTAGATACAGAGATGTATTAGTATTAGTCCAGTTAAAAAATACCTAAAGATGACTCTCTATTTATTTTATTGTTGTTATTTTATCATTGTGGCATAACCAATCATAATATGTCCAGTTTGTGATATATGCTTAATATGAACTTTAATTTGCACATAACAGTGTTGTAGTTTTAGTTGAACACCCCATGACCCTTTGCAAGCCAGCATGCTGTCAGCTTGTCAGACTAGTTGAAGAAATGGTAACACAGATCACAAACATGGCCCTAAGCCCTTTACGCCCGCAGGGATATGTACTGTATGACACCAAACATTTCTCTCTCTGCTCGGCCATTTGAAAAAAAATCAGAAACAGACGAAATATGAATTTACTTGAAATGAGTGTCTATTCTAGTAAATGGGCCTAGTTTAAAAGCCCAGCTAGAGATTCTACATGTTAGATTTAGTACGATACTGGCATGTTGAACTAGAGCAAAAGGTTGGAGTTTTTCTTAATATTTTCAGCATCTCCAGTTTTGATGTTAAACTGATTGAAAAACAATACATTTCACACATTTCTGCTTGGGATATCAGCATGCCGTCCACCTACATGCTCTTACTGGTTCAGTTCATCATTACAAAATCCCCGTGACCCCTGTAATTTCAGCATATATTATACGCCTCTTCATCTCGCTTTCTGTTTGAAAAATAACCCTTAAAAAAGATGGATATTTCATCAATCCCTTTGAATAATTTATGTTGAGCAGGTCTGACGCCTCGATATTACAGAAGCTGGACAGAAACATTCTAAACATAGTATTCAGCCGTTTTCATCAATTCCCATACTGATACAGCTTCCGGGCTGAATCCAGATTAATTTATTCCCTAAAATATTTTATTCATTACTTGGCTGCCTCACAAAATTTTGACGTTCCACCGGTTTGACGTTTCACTGGTAATGAAATCTACGAGTATTATATCTGATATAGCCTACATGTTTTATAACATACACTATTAAACATGACATGTTTGGCACTTTTCCTAGTAATGTGCTTTATTTGAATAAATGTAAAAGTTAACATAATTGTGCATTGTGTTTTGAGACATTGCATGTCAATACAGACTCTTTCTAAGCTTTTTCATCATTTTTAGACGGAGGGGGAAATGGGATCGGCAAATGATGCAAGCCGGACTGTTATGCTATGATAACAATTTGTGCTTGAATGATTGTGTTAATTGATGAATACGTTAAGTCCTAAATAGTTCACCCATAAGTGCAGAATACAAGCCTTCTGATTCTGCATTTTCAAAACAACTCAAATGAGTACTAATATTTATATTCAGCTCATTTTATATACATATTCGCTTTTTCTGCTTTATAAATGCACTCTAATGCATTACCACCTCCTCTTCAGTTAGCTTTCCTTTACTGATGAATGTCATACAAGGCAATAAAACGCATAAACCAATGAATAGTTATTTTTTGCCCTTTGGGTAAAAATGTGCATTGAGGAACTTGGTCTGATCGCACTATTAACTCACACACAGAGATGCACAACACAATCCCTAGTCTAGAGGCACATTAAAGGCCTCATTTCCATTACATTGTGCCTGTAAGGCAAATTTATGCTTTATTTACGCATACTAAATGAAAAGTGATAAAAGGACGGGGAAGAAAAACACAGAATAACAAACAAATGTAACAGCAGATGTATCATTGCACACCTAGAGGCTCTGAGGTATGATCATTTAAAGCACATGATGGGAGAGTCTTAAGGGATCAAATCTCTTTTGTTTCTATCTAATTCTCTGATTAAATATTCATAACACAACACATGATATCCTCACTGTGGTACTCATGAAAAATACAGCAGTTCATTTTCAGTGGTTAAAAATTATTTTCTAGTGTATAAGATTAAATTTTCAATTTGTTTTAATGTTGCAGCTAATGTCATTTCAGCCTGAAAATAGCAATTTTCCATGGTAGATGAAAAATGGAGTGATGGTACTTAAGTTCACAAGACCATATCAATCAGTGAACAAGGCTATTAACACTAAGAAAGCTTTCAGACCAGCAAAGTAATTAATATAAGCTTTTAAAGGGTCAAAACTTGATGTTTGAGAGTTAATGTCTTGCGAATATAAGCAATGCAGATAAGACTGACGTGAAGATGGTTCAATAAGGAATATTGTTGCCAGATTTACCTGATCTATTTATTGTCTTTGACCTGAATTGATTCTATTACCGTACTGTTAAAAGATAAATGGATAAAAAGCAACGCCGCACATGCACTAAAATATTAATAGACTCATAAATATCCATGAGAGATGTGCCTATAGCAGGAGACATAGCAGAGCTTCAGTGGGTGCCACAAACCCATGGCTGACTATGTTAATCTAGTATGTATTTAATGCCCTCTGACCCATGCGAGGCATTTATTTGCAGGTCTGTGGTCAGTCCAGCCCCAGCTGCGACTACAGGCAATGCTCCCCACCAGAATAAGCAAGACTGAATGAATAAAGAGCCGTTCATGCAGGATATGTTTACATGTAAAAAAATACAAAATAATAAAAAAAATCTGTTTACTGCAAATGAAGGGGGAAAAACGGGACACAACAGTGTTAGTCTATATGCATGAATTGCTAAATAAAATGCAATTGAAAAATGCAATGCAATAAGATAAAGGCATATTGAAAAACAATAATGCAATACATTTAAATGACCATTAGGGTGCTTTTTTTCAGCTAGTACAAATATATGTGATTAATTAATCAGCATATTTGAATCCCTTACTCTACAAATATATTATTCTTAATCAAGGGTTAATAAACTCACTAGAAATTCTGTCTAAACACAAACATATAGTCTTATGTACTTATGTATAGGGCTTTATATGTAAGCGTTAAAGACAAAACTGTTCATCAGTTGTAGAATGGAATGGGCTATTGGCAGGTTTTTTTTTGTTTGTTTGTTTTTGTTTTTTTAGAAAAGTGTGGTTTTGTTTTTATCTCTCATGACATCATCTTTTAGTGTGGGTCAGTCTTGCCACTTCCTTATCTGAAGAGATGTTTACTTCCTGCCTTACGTTGAAATTATGCTAGACAGAGCCACTCAGTGGTAAAAAAAATATATAATAATAATAATAACAAGATCTTTCTCTCCTAAACATCCAGCACTTAAGATGTGAATTGAAAGCGTCTGTGCAAGTAGGGCTTTATAATCTCGTAAATTTTGATCGATCGGAGCAAGAAAATGAAATGTTCTCTTTCTCTCGAACTGCACTGATGTGTAAATATCATCCCCACTAAAGATAATTCATCCTGTTGCCCTTCCCAAATTTATAGCCCTTGCGCCAATTGTCTCTGATGTAATGGTATCCTCTCTGTAGCATTTATAAGTCAGAGAATGCATGCATTAACAAGCCGTGAAATATTCCTGCTTCAGGTTATGAAAATGCAGGCTGCTAAAATGAAGAGCGAACCACGTCACGGCTTACAGAATGTGTTATACTGCCGGCTATCTCCAGACGCCTCTATGTTTTCCTCTGTGTTTTGTGAGATGTCTGCTTGATGAATAATTTATCTGTGGGTATTTCAGAGCTGTGCTTCTACAACCCGCGTGTCATGTGAATGAACTATTCCCAGGTGAGCAGCGGTGGCAGCTGCAATGGTGGAGTTGACTGAAAAATGATATTCTCCGAATACCAAACCAATGTGTCAGCGGAGGCCCTGAGTACTGGCAACACAGCCAATGAAAATAAAACAAACTGTCATTTCTGAGCGAATTTCACTGGCGTAATGAGCCAGAATAAAGTGACAGTTAAATACTGTACTTGTACTCAATCCTGACGCTCCCTGGGGCTTAACGTAAATCCACTCTGTCCCAAAATAACACCTCGCTCATCTCTCGGCACAGTACTGACTGTTTTCATTACCGCACGAAGGGCAAAAATAGGATTTTCATCTAAAAACTGCAAGTTTTTCATGCCTACAGGCAAAACTTAGTCGCTTCCACCCTGCATGTGTACCTCTTCACACATCTGGTTATATGGTTCTATTTCTGCACTGAGCTTTTTTACCTGTCTGTGGCTTCCTCCTCACAGGGATCCTCCGGATTGCTCTTCACATCCTCGTGGCTGCTCTTCGCCTCCTCTTTCCTGGCACTGCAAGGTGAGTTGCTCTTGGGAAGTTGCTCCTCGCTGGCTTGGAGGTGCTGGATGATGTTTTGCTGGTGCCATGATTGATCGCCTGGCCTGGCATAAACAGGCGTGGGTCCAGGGTTCGGTGCCAGAATGCTGTGCACGGGGCTGTTGCTCTTGCGGAGTCCTCCTCTGTCCCGGGAGTGACTCTTCAGCCGGACCGGTGTTCCCCGGTGGTCAAAACCTTCCTGTTGGATGTAGCCCCCATTCCCAGCTGAGGTCTGTGTGCTGTGGCTGAACCAGCGCCAGCGGAGCCTGAGGATCTGCTTCACGTCAAACTCCTTTTTTCCAGACACAGACATGCTATTCGCCCTCGATGAGACGCCAGTGGCACATGGAATCCGAGGAGTAACGAGGCAGAACGCCTGAGTCTCGGCTTCAGAGGCTTTACCTCTTTTGTCTTTGTTGCCGGTTCTGGCCAATAAAGGGACGGTGTCTGCAGCTTCTGCCTTGTGTCTTATTTCCCTTCTTCTCCAACTCTGTCTGCTCCTTGTCCTTAGTTATAGCACACACATGATATCCTCTGCCTGTACCACCCTCCTCCCTTCCCTTTGTCGTTCTGTGTCTCTCTGCACATACGACACACACACAACACAGAAAATTAGGAACGCATACAGCAACCTGCTCTGATTCCAGCAGCAAATAACGAACAGCTCTTACCCGAGAAGCTGACGTGCCACACTGACAGGACGCAGAGGTCAAACCTTAGTGGGGAAAATCTTGTAGCACAGGAAGGAAAGCCAAGACCTGCACCATCTCCTTCCACGAGCAGCATCATCTGCGCTCGCACTCACACTCTGCCCCTTTCCTTTCTGTGTGCACACACATGCTCTTTCCCTCGCTCTAGCTCTCTCTCGCTCATAGACATGTCTTCTCGCACAGTCCCCCCATCTGAAGGGATCCCGAGGGAGATGGTCTCAGCCTCTCAGCGAAGGAAACCATGCCGAAAAAATATTCTCTCCCTGTCTGTCTCAAGCCGAAGTGACAGATAAACACCAAAGTGTATCACTGTTTTGACTGTGCACCAGTTAGTATTTCATCTCAAGTTAACGTTCGGGAAATGTCTACACTATGTTCTGTAAAATCACGGTAAGAATGCTGTAAATAAAGAAACCTACATGCATTTTCAATGGTATACCCAAAAGTGTTCTTTGAATACATCAACAGTTTTAATTTGATAAAAGCTATTTTGCTTGATTTTGTCGATGGTAACAAATTATGGTTTCTATTTTGAACATGACAAAAAAAAATCTTAAAATGTATGTAGGGCAAAACAAATATTTATCACAATACTAATATTTGTTGATGTTTGTACGCTGGGATGTGATAACACTAACTCATTTTCTACATTTGAGAGGTTGTGTTTATCCTGTTAGAAAAGGTAGATTTAGATCATTTTTGCGCATTGTCTGTTTGTATCCAAAGATTTTCTGGTCTTATACTGCCGATACTGATAATGATTTATTCATGTGCAGTGTCTTCAGTTGGCTGTTCTATTGTTATGCTGAAAATATGGATGCCATCATCCTTTATATGGTATCTGTTCTGGTGAGGAGCTCCCTTTGCTTAATTCCTTAGTGTGTTAGAGGGACTTTGATCCGCTGACAAATTTGCAAATCAAAACATAAAAAAGGAATAGAGAGAGCCATAGGTCTTGTTTTAAGGTGATATGCACCAAATAATCAAAGCAGTAAATGCAGTAAATGTAATTTTTTTGCCCAATATCAGCTTTTATTATAATATATAATGTACTTGCTTATTGTTTCAGAATATTTGTTCTGACAATATTTTCCTAATGTGAAATATTTTGCACCCTGTATCCTCTATCCTGTATTTTTTTAGGTATTATTAATAAGAATGAGTTCACCTGTGCACAAGACTCGAAAAATATCTAGTATGTTATTATATACGTGCATTTATTTGTATAATGGTTCTGAATTTACACTGACAAATTTGTTGTAGTATTTTGTGCATTGCACAGATTCAGAACTTTTAATGTAAGTCATCGCTAGTTGTTCTGAATCTAAAAACTTTGATGAGAAGTCTGTCATCCAGCTGTTCTCTCACCTCACTTTTGTGTTTAATTACCAGCATTCTACATTTTAGAAATGTCTATGCCTTGATGCATTATGTAAGCAGTGAACAGCAGGGGGTGGAGGGCATCAATGAATTTCCTTTGGATGCACTAACTAATCTCATTTGAAGCTACACTAAAATGACAGGTAGTCTAGGTGAATAATGTTAATCTGTACAATTATTCCATGATGTCCTTCTGAAGCTATTTGAAGTTTTTGTAAAACGTTTGAGTGAAATATAACATATTTGTTTATGTTAATTACATAAAAAGGCAGCTCTACCTTAATATGGCCATGAAACTACAGCAGATAAATAGAAATCAGTTTCTAAATTTTAGCAAGATGAATGCAAGATAAATGTCATCTTGGTCGATTAGACAAATTACAGGCTTGAATGTAAAAAAAAAATGTAGCTTGAAAACTTACTATAAGTATTCATATAAGCTCCAACAATTTTTCAATGTATATAGCTTAACATATCCATAACTAAACATTGAGGGTCAAAGATTTACAAACAGTACTAAATATGACAGCATAGAGAGCAAACCATGGTAATTTCCGAGCTAAGGTGCATTGTTTTATATAGCATATTTTCTCCGGTACACCCAACATTTTATACTTTATATGTAAAGCATTTCAAAGCTATAGAAAGATTGCATCAGCATTTTTATTTCTGTAACGTGCATTTAATTTATTTCAATACATTGCTATTACATGAAATGCTTTATATCTGTCCTCTCTGCCCTTAAAGAGACCCAAGTATACCAAGTTCATACATTAAAGGGTTAGTTCACCCAAAAATGAAAATTCTGTCATTAATTACGCACCCTCATGTCGTTCCAAACCCGTAAGACCTCTGTTCATCTTCGGAACACAAATGAAGATATTTTTGATGGAATCTGAGAGCTGTCTGACCCTCCCATAGACAGCAAGGTTACTACCACGATCAACATCCAGAAACATAGCAAGGAGATCGGTAAAATAATCCATGTGACATCAGGGGTTCAACCGTAATATTACGAAGCTACAAGAATACTTTTTGTGTGCAAAAGAAAAAGAAAATAATGACTTTATTCAACAATTCGTCTTCACCCTAGTGCCATTTTGGAAAGTATCCACTGAACGCAAACAGCGTATGTTGTTTTCGTTCAAATCAAAGCACAAACAACGTAGAAAGCGTATCCGTGTGGTGCGGCTGACACAGAACAACATACGCTGTTTGCGTTCAGTGGATACTCTCCAAAATGGAGTTAGGGTGATGCGGAGGAGACGAATTGTTGAATAAAGTCTTTTTTTTTTTCTTTTGCGCACAAAAAGTATTCTCGTAGCTTGATCGTGGTAGTACCTTTGCTCTCTATGCAGGGTCAGACAGCTCTTGAATTCCATCAAAAATATCTTAATTTGTGTTCCGAAGATGAACGGAGGTCTTACGGGTTTGGAACGACATGAGGGTGCGTAATTAATGACAGAATTTTCATTTTTGGGTGAACTGACCATTTAAATATATACATCCTTGGAAAACAAGGAATAAGACATATATTGGTGAATAATTTGGTTGCTGCAAAACTAGTACACACTAGTATGAGCTGAAATAAATGCATAGCCTCTTATTACTGTAGGAGTCAAGGACACCATCTGTTTTAAGTCTCTTTGATACAAGAGATGTCAGCCTTGACTGCTGCTCACTGTATTATTCACAAACATCTGTCCTACCTGATAGACTCTTCCTACCTGCAAACCACATAATCAAACATAATCATAATTCTATATCCAGCTGCAAGAAAGGAGCAATGATGAAGGAACAACACTCCAAACCCATTGGCTCTTAATGCAGGTTTTTTTTTTTTTTTACTCCCAATTATTTTTATTTTTTTTATTACTACCGTAATACATGTAGTTTTTCTTTTCATGGCTTTGATTAACAAACAGGCATATCTGAGCAAAAATTCTGTGATGTGAAGCATACAAATTGGAAACCAGTTTTCTTCTAGTAATTTCTATATGATATTGCCCCTCCTAAAATTTGACAGACTTGGAGTGACCAGGAATCATAAGAAAATCAGTACACTAAAAATTTGGGAATTTGTATGTATGAATCCGCATAAGATTGTCTCAGAATCAAACATGTTCAAAAACAAAAGAAATTCAGCCTAATCCACTCAATTCCTTGCAATGTCAGTAGTAAAAGACAATAATTTAATGTCTTACCTTTCAAACAAAATATGAACAATATGGGTCCTTGCCTCTGTTCCTCTCAGCTTATGTTGCTTGTCATAGATTTCAAGCTAACCATAAAATGGATGACCGGTTTTCTCATCCCAGGTCTGCAAATGAATATTTGCATACAAAACAAACCACACTTTCCTCCCTCAAAGGAATTTCCTGACCATTTCCTTCCTTAGTACTGGTTTGAAGAAGCAGGACAGGAAAGCCCATTTCCTGTTTTCTTGGTGTTGGCTCCTATCAAAGTATTCATAGAAAGCTAAAAGCACAATGGTCAGATTCAACACGGTTGAAGAAATGCAACCTTGTTTTTAGGAGTTCTGTGATGTTAATGTTCCGTTCCAACAAAACTGTTCTGTATGTGGTTTTACATTACAATACAGATTTGTGCAATCATGTACATTTTTAGCACTATAATGCAATTGAGTCACATTCAAAACAAATATTGATATTTGATCACTTTATTTAAATTTTTGCAAATGATACAAGGAAAAAAAGTTAGAAACTTGCAGCCTAAATGTCCCATTATTTACAAGAGCAATGCACATTTTATGCCTTTTCAAAAATATTAATGTTTTACCGTTGGCATTAGCATTCCTGTAGTTATATCACCACATGATGACAGCACAACATTTCATAAATTTAGTAAGAGGAAGAGAGAGAGTCAACCGGATGTAAAGAAATGTGGAAAATATAACCAAGAAAAAATGCCTTAGAAACCATTAAAAATCAAAGCATGTCACAGCTTTTGCCAGCTGCTTCCTGGTGTGCATTTTAAAGAGACTCAAGCAATCATTGAAAAATAGTCTTACATATAAATACTTTAGAAGATTATAATCTCAAATAATAAATTCCATAATATCTGAACTGTGATAATATTTGGGACACAAATTTATGTTATCCCATGTATTCGTTTTGAATCAATTTATTTACAGTTTGTACAGCCCTTAAAACTTCATTGTGCTCACTAATAAGATCTGGTTTATCACTGCTCAAATTAGTTATTCATATGTGATAAGTACATATGATACAGCACTAAATATATACGTGAAGATTAAGTCTTAAAATCCTTTCAAATCTAACTAAAATCATTCCTCTTGCATTTAAATGTGTCCAGACAATTTTAGAAAGGACAACAGAGTTTCAAACATTTTCAAAGGTACAAAAATAGAACAAGTTATCAGATGACAGATGATTTTTATATTAACTACACACATTGTTGGATTGGATTTGCATTTCCTATCTACAAAACAAAACTAAAATTACATAACAGTTTTCTCCTATTTACAGTTAAATTGTGATTAAAAAAAATACATATATATATCAATGCCTGTAAAGAACATATGTGGGAATTGAAGAAACAGTCAATATGGCAGTGCACCATTGCTTAAATGAAAGACAGATTTACACAGTCATCTAGACTGAAAAAAAGTGTGTGTGAATATACTGTGTATAGATAATAGCATGAAACCTATTTCTTTGGCGAAACCGCTATTTCGAGATCTGGTAGCCGAAAACTGCTTTTTGAACCACTATCACTGCTAGATGATGATGACATTCTGGACTTCTTTGAAGACTGAGCAACTCCACCAGCACCCTCAATCCTAACCTCATTTTCATCTGTCACTTCATATGAACCTTTACTTTTTGAGCCAAAACCTCCAATTGTAGCAAACTTCAACTTTCCTTTTTTGCCTTTAACCTTTTCTCCAACATCAACTGAAACGTTGCCACCCTCTGCCTGTAAGTGGCCTTCAGCAGAAACAGGGGAAGCTAAACCTCCCTCATCACTTACAGAGGATGAGTGATGTTGTGTTTTTTTGAAGAGGTCAAGGGAGGCAGATTTACTCTTTGGTGAAACTTTAAACCCAGAACTTCCCTCTACTGCTAACTTGCCACGTGTCAATTCCCCAGAACTAAGGCTCAACTCCTTAGACACCTTTGCACCACCTTTACTTGTAACATCAACACCTTCTCCCTCAACAGTAAGATCAGCTGCACTGCCACCTTTAGATTTAGATTTGGCAAATAATTTTGGCATTTTGACTTTCACTTTTCCACCACTGCTTTTCCTATCAGTGTTCTCCATTTCCAGACTTTGGGAACTAACTTTAGAACCAGCAGCCAATTCACATGAACCTACATCAACTCCCATCTCTCCTCCACCTACTTTAGGCAATGCAACACCAAACTTTGGTACTTTGATTTTGGGAAAGGTTACATTAACATCTTGGTACTCCATCACACCAGATAATGATGCATCTGGCTTCATGTCTAACCCACTTGCAGTCTCTCCTTTTTGTCCTCTTACATTAAAGCCTGGTATTTCAATGCTCCCTTTTACTCCTTTTTGTTCAGTGAGATTTAAATCAGCATCTAAAGCACCACCATGGACATTTACAGCAGGCACTGTCAACTTAACATCCTGTATTTTACCTTCTATGTCAATGTTAGCCCTGCCTTTTCCATTAATGCCTGATCCTGCTACACTGACATCTGGGGAATGAAAATACTTTTGCGGAAGATCTAATGTTGCATCTCTAACATCCAGTTCAGGAGTTTTTATCTCAGAGCCAGAGATGCCGACTTTTGGCATTTTGATTTTTCCCCCTTTTGTTTTGAAATCGAGACCACCCAAACTTGCATCTGGTGTCTGAATATCAGTTCTAAGGCTTGCAGAAGGCAAATCAACATTCGATTTTATAGTTCCAGATGCAGATGAACTACCTTTAACTTTTGGAGATTTGATGTCAAATTCCACATCAGGAAAATGTAACTTTCCAAAAAAAGGTTTCTTTACTTTGGTTGACTTCATCTGTATGTCAGGTTCATTTGTCTCCAACTTGATATCGCCATCAAAGGTTTTAGACTTCCCCTTCCCTTTAGTCAACTTGAATTTACCCTTCTTTCCTTTCACATCTATGTTCATATCAGGCCCTTCTACACTACCACCAGCATCAGGAATATCTGCATCCAATTTTGGGCTCTTGACTCCAAGCGAAAATTTAGATTTTTTCATTTTTGGCACCTTGATATTTGCATCTGGTTCACTGATATTGACATCAGGGCTTTTGACATCAATACTCGCCCCTATATCTTTTTCAGGCATTGAAAGACTGCCACCTGAAGGCTTTATTCCAAAGTTGGGACCTCTGAATTTGGGGAGCTTAACATGTTTTAAACCACCTTCGGGCCCTTCAATGTCAAGATCTGGAGCTTTACCATCAATTTCAGGTCCTTTAATGTCAACATCTGCTTTGGGAAGACTAAAGTCAATATCTGGACCCTCCAATTTGGGACCTTTGAGTCCAAACGATGGCATTTTGATTTTAGGCATCTTGATGCCACCTTCTGGGCCCTCTATATCAACATCAGGACCTTCAATGTCCACTTTTGGTGCCTTTAGGTCACCTGAAATCTTTGGTACAGAAACATCCATATCACCTTTGACTTTGGGGCCTTTAAGATTTAAGTTGACATCTGGCATAGAAATCTTTGGCCCTGATATGGAAGGCATTTTGTACTTGGGACCTTTGACTTTTCCCTCAGGTCCTTCAATGTCAAGATCAGGAGCTTTAACGTCAATTTCAGGTCCTTTAATGTCAACATCTGCTTTGTGCAGATTGATATCAACATCTGGGCCCTCCACTTTAGGACCTTTGAGTCCAAATGACGGCATTTTTATTTTAGGCATCTTGATGCCACCTTCTGGGCCCTCTATATCAAAATCAGGACCTTCAATGTCCACTTTTGGTGCCTTTAGATCACCTGAAATCTTTGGTACAGAAATATCCATATCACCCTTGACTTTGGGGCCTTTAAGATTTAAGTTGACATCTGGCATAGAGATCTTTGGACCTGATATGGAAGGCATTTTGAATTTGGGACCTTTGATTTTTCCCTCAGATCCCTCAATGTCAATATCAGGAGTTTTGATGTCAATTTCAGGTCCTTTAATGTCGACATCTGCTTTAGGGAGATTGATGTCAACATCTGGGCCCTCCACTTTAGGACCTTTAAGTCCAAATGATGGCATTTTGATTTTAGGCATCTTGAAGCCACCTTCCGGGGCCTCTATTTCAACATCAGGACCTTCAATGTCCACTTTTGGAGGTTTTAAGTCCCCTGAAATCTTTGGTACAGAAATATCCACATCACCCTTGACTTTGGGGCCTTTTAAGTTGACATCTGGCATAGAGATCTTTGGCCCTGATATGGAAGGCATTTTGAACTTGGGACCTTTGATTTTTCCCTCAGGTCCCTCAATGTCAAGATCAGGAGCTTTAATGTCAATTTCAGGTACTTTAATGTCAACATCTGCTTTGGGAAGACTGATGTCAACATCTGGGCCCTCCACTTTAGGACCTTTGAATCCAAATGATGGCATTTTGATTTTAGGCATCTTGAAGCCACCTTCTGGGCCCTCTAAATCAACATCAGGACCTTCAATGACCACTTAGGAGCTTTAACGTCAATTTCAGGTCCTTTAATGTCAACATCTGCTTTGTGCAGATTGATATCAACATCTGGGCCCTCCACTTTAGGACCTTTGAGTCCAAATGACGGCATTTTTATTTTAGGCATCTTGATGCCACCTTCTGGGCCCTCGATATCAACATCAGGACCTTCAATGTCCACTTTTGGTGCCTTTATGCCACCTGAAATCTTTGGAACAGAAACATCCATATCACCCTTGACTTTGGGGCCTTTTAAGTTGACATCTGGCATAGAGATCTTTGGCCCTGATATGGAAGGCATTTTGAACTTGGGACCTTTGATTTTTCCCTCAGGTCCCTCAATGTCAAGATCAGGAGCTTTAATGTCAATTTCAGGTACTTTAATGTCAACATCTGCTTTGGGAAGACTAAAGTCAATATCTGGACCCTCCAATTTAGGACCTTTGAATCCAAACGATGGCATTTTGATTTTAGGCATCTTGATGCCACCTTCTGGGCCCTCTATATCAACATCAGGACCTTCAATGTCCACTTTTGGAGCTTTTATGTCCCCTGAAATCTTTGGTACAGAAACATCCATATCACCCTTGACTTTGGGGCCTTTAAGATTTAAGTCGACATCTGGCATAGAGATCTTTGGACTTGATATTGAAGGCATTTTGAACTTGGGACCTTTGATTTTCCCCTCAGGTCCTTCAATGTCAAGATCAGGAGTTTTGATGTCAATTTCAGGTCCTTTAATGTCAACACCTGCTTTGGGGAGATTGATGTCAACATCTGGACCCTCCACTTTAGGACCTCTTAGTCCGAATGATGGCATTTTGATTTTTGGCACTTTGATTTTCCCCTCAGGTCCTTCAATGTCAAGATCAGGAGTTTTGATGTCAATTTCAGGTCCTTTAATGTCAACACCTGCTTTGGGGAGATTGATGTCAACATCTGGACCCTCCACTTTAGGACCTTTGAGTCCAAATGATGGCATTTTGATTTTAGGCATTTTAAAGCCACCTTCCGGGCCCTCTATATCAACATCAGGACCATCAATGCCCACTTTTGGGGCTTTTATGTCCCCTGAAATATTTGGTACAGAAACATCCATATCACCCTTGACTTTGGGGCCTTTTATGCTGACATCTGGCATAGATATCTTTGGACCTGATATGGAAGGCATTTTGAACTTGGGACCTTTGATTTTCCCCTCAGGTCCCTCAATATCAAGACCAGAAGCTTTAACATCAATTTCAGGTCCTTTAATGTCAAGATCTGCTTTGGGGAGATTGATGTCAACATCTGGACCCTCCACTTTAGGACCTCTTAGTCCGAATGATGGCATTTTGATTTTAGGCATCTTGAAGCCACCTTCTGGGCCCTCTACATCAACATCAGGTCCTTCAATATCCATTTTTGGAGCCTTTATGTCACCTGAAATCTTGGGTCCAGAAACATCAATATCACCCTTGACTTTTGGACTTTTCAAGTTGAGGTCTACATCTGGCATATAAATCTTTGGACCAGATAAAGAAGGCATTTTGAATTTGGTGCCCTTGATTTGTCCCTCAGGTCCTTCAACATCAAGATCAGGAGTTTTGATGTCAATATCAGGTGAATTTAAACCAACATCACCACTAGGTACACTGACATCAATTTCTCCTTTGGGTGATTTAAAACCAAATTTTGGCATTTTAAATTTTGGCATCTTGAATCCTCCCTCTGGACTTTTAACTTCTATACTTGAAGAATCAACTTCCACTTTTGGCATATTGACATCACCCTCCAAACTGACACCTGCTTGACCTTTCACTTTAGATCCTTTCGGAAGTTTGACATCAACATCGGGTGCTTCAATCTTTGGCCCTTTAAATCCAAACTTGGGCATTTTGAATTTTGGCTTTTTCACATTTGTTTCTGGAAAATTAACCTCAACATTAGGGCCTTCAGGACCAGATACTGATGGCATCTTGAGATTTGGGCCCTTGATTTTTCCTTCAGGCAATTCTATGTCAGGTTTTGGCCCCTTGATACCAACATCTGGTGTTTTAAAGTCTCCTTCAACTTTTGGAATTGAAACATCAACATCTGGACCCTTCAGTCCGAATGATGGCATTTTGATCTTTGGCATCTTAAAACCACCCTCAGGTCCTTCAATGTCTGGGCCTTCAATCTCAACTTTTGGTGGTTTAATATCTCCTTCCACTTTTAGAACGGACATGTCAGCATCACCTTTCAGTTTTGGACCTTTGAGGTTGAAATCCATATCAGGCATAGAAAGTTTTGGGCCAGAAATTGATGGTATCTTGAATTTGGGACCCTTGATTTTTCCCTCAGGTCCCTCAAAATCAAGCTCTGGACCCTTGATATCCACATCAGGGGCTTTAATATCTCCTTCCACTTTTGGAATGGACACGTCAGCATCACCTTTCAGTTTTGGACCTTTCAGATTGAAATCAATGTCTGGCATAGAAATCTTTGGACCAGAGATTGATGGCATCTTGAATTTGGGGCCCTTGATTTTTCCTTCAGGTCCTTCAATGTCAAACTCTGAAGCTTTGATGTCCACTTCTGGTGCCTTAACTTCAATATCGGCTTTAGGAGTTTTCACATCAATATCTGGACCCTCCACTTTTGGACCCTTCAATCCAAATAATGGAATTTTGAACTTTGGCATCTTAAAACCACCATCAGGTCCTTCAATTTCTGGGCCTTCAATATCAACTTTTGGTGCTTTAATATCTCCTTCCACTTTGGGAACGGACACGACAACATCACATTTAAGTTTTGGACCTTTCAGGTTGAAGTCAACGTCTGGCATAGAAATCTTTGGACCAGAGATTGATGGCATCTTGAATTTGGGGCCCTTGATTTTTCCATCAGGTCCTTCTATGTCTAACTCTGGAGCTTTGATTTCCACATCTGGTGCCTTCACATCAACATCTGGACCCTCCACTTTTGGACCCTTCAGGCCGAATGATGGCATTTTCATTTTTGGCATCTTAAAACCACCATCAGGTCCTTCAATTTCAACTTTTGGTGCTTTAATATCTCCTTCCAGTTTTGGAACGGACACGTCAACATCACCTTTCAGTTTTGGACCTTTCAGGTTGAAGTCAACGTCTGGCATAGAAATCTTTGGACCAGAGATTGATGGCATCTTGAATTTGGGGCCCTTGATTTTTCCATCAGGTCCTTCAATATCTAACTCTGGAGCTTTGATGCCCACATCTGGTGCCTTCACATCAACATCTGGACCCTCCACTTTTGGACCCTTCAGGCCGAATGATGGCATTTTCATTTTTGGCATCTTAAAACCACCATCAGGTCCTTCAATTTCTGGGCCTTCAATTTCAAATTTTGGTGCTTTAATATCTCCTTCCACTTTAGGAACGGACACGTCAACATCACCTTTCAGTTTTGGACCTTTCAGATTGAAGTCAACGTCTGGCATAGAAATCTTTGGACCAGAGATTGATGGCATCTTGAATTTGGGGCCCTTGATTTTTCCCTCAGGTCCTTCAATGTCAAACTCTGGAGCGTTGATGTCCAATTCTGGTGCCTTAACTTCAATAT